ACACGGTGTGTGATCAAACCCCGGGCTGATTCCTCAAACGCTTTGGGAAGTGGGTGGCTCAATGGATCGGCAGCAAGGAACCCTCTCTGCAAAGGCTGAATATAAGTGGGGGGGACCAAACAAAAAAATGACTGACTCTGTGACATATTAGCAGAATTGTCTCTAATTGTTTTGTCTTGAAAAAACAAAACCCTTGAGAGAAATCCAAGTCTTTTTACATAATGCTTTCTTGGGGCCAGACTCCAGTTTTCTAGCTCATCTTAAGTACCACCGCGTTTGTCAGAGGTTCCGGCCCCGCTCGCTCCGAGTCCAAATCTGAACTTTGGCCAATAGTCACAAAGAATCAGACTTTGCATAAAGATTTATCTTGGCAACTCTATCACATAAAAGGCCATTTACGCTTGATACACTCAGAGCAGCAGAGACTTCTTAAACAAATGCACAAGGTGCATTGGTTTCCTCATTCGATTATGACAGAATTTTCCCCAACATCTTAATTAACATTCATTTACCGAGTATTAAACCATTTTTTTTTCTGTTAAATGTAAAGATCAGTGCTAGGAGCTATACATTCTGAAAGATAATTGCACCATGTAATTCTGGTGCTTCAACAATTTATACTGAAATATTGATGGATATGTTCCAACATTCTTTTTTTTTTTTTCCCCACAAGTGTATTTCATAATCTTTTAAATATCTCTCTCCTGAAAACTTTAGCATAAAGTACAAATCCTCTTACGTAACGGAAGTTTAATGCATCTGGATACTGCTAACCAAACAAAAGCATTTCAGACCGATTTCTATTTTCAGAAATAAAAGAAGTTGTTAACATAAAGTATTGCAAATACGAATCTATGAGGAATATGCAGTAGCAGAAGGGCATGACTAAGGATTCTCGAGAAGTTAAGCGCTCCACTTTAATATTAGAAATACCAAGTATCTTTTCTGCTTTTCATTAGCATAACGAAGAATAAAAAACTTCCATTTTCAAATAGAAATGTAATGCTAAGTGACACTTTGCATAATCTCCTTAGGAGAGTCACTCTGTAGTCTCACTGTCTGCGCTGTGGTTCTAGCGTTGACCCAAGACTTGTGTAATGAAATGGAAATGCAGGGAGGTTACACAGAACAATGAAGGAGCATCTCGGAGAGGGAAGCCTCTCTCACAAACAGTGGCTGGAACAGTTAGTTCAAGTGGTTTGTATGTTTGTCGTGAACATAAAACCTCGATAAAGCAAACAATAGTCAGTAATAAGTAGTCAGGAGAAAGCATTTGGTTGTGAATTTGTACAAACTATGCAGAAAGCTCTTGGGTATGCTCTAGGGGGAAACTGTTGGAAGACTCCAGAGTGCTGAGAGCTCTGCCTCAGGCTGTTGGATTAATTGCTGTGGAAAGGTTTAGGGGTTACCTTTGACACTGCTATTGGTTCCTAGTGTGTGAACAAAACATAAACTGCAGAGAAAAACCTGTGAAATCCAGCAAACACTCGCTGGGTTTGCTGCAGTGTCCTGTTTTGTGATGTGCTTACAGTGCAGCTCCTGCTTCTGGTGGTCTGGGGGTGTTGTTCCACTGGTCACTTAGCATGTCATGCCAAGATGTTTTTCTGCTTATCTGCAGAATTGCCTGACAACATTCTCTCTCTTTTGGTAGCTCTTTCCTGCACTGTGTCTCCTTTTTCTAGAGCATCCTGCCCCATCTGCTACAGAATTAAGTAGGACTCGTAGAGGCAGCAGTTCTGAACCCTGCTAGTTCAGCCCAGCTCTGTCCTGGAAAGTCCCCTCCGCTGACAATGAGACATAGATCAGCCTTTCTTCCCCTTCAGCCCTTGGCTGCTTTGGTGAGGCCACTAAGATGGATGCTTGCTGTGATAATGGTGCTGACATTTGCTCACCAGGAACTGGAGCGAAACCATCATTGCATGTCATATAGGTCTCCAGTAACAATCAGATGCTAACGAGTGCCAGACCATTAGAGGCCTGGCGTGCACTCCAGCTAGTGTCCTAAACTGGGTGTCCTTAGCCCATTATCCATTGTATCTCCTAGGTATTGCTGCCCCCTCAGCAAAGACATTGCACAACCAGCTAGTGACCACCCCGGGCTCTTCTCTTTGGGCTGGGTGCCATCTTTTCTGGGCAAGGGTACAGATCGTGTCTCGAACCGTGCCAGACACACTGGTTGGGGTTCCTTTTCTGCCTACGAGCCTGGCTGAACAAAAAAGGCAATACAGAGATATGTAGCAGCAGCAGCAGCGTTCACGTTACATACAATCTGACACCCGGTAGATGGTCCTTGGGGATTATAATGAGGCACCCACTGCTATACAGCATGTTTTGGCAACCGGGAGGGCTGGCGAACCCCATGCCTGTCTTCTTTTTGCAAGTCTTTGAGTTTCTTTTTGGCACATACATGAAATGAAGCTCAAGATGCAAATACTGCCAAAGCTTCTTGTAGAAGAGATGACATTTATATTGTTATGCAGTTTGCTGATCTAAACGTACCATTGCCTTGCCTTGATAGCCCAGGGCAAGTGCTAATCAGCTTGTTTCGTGGGCACCATGCCATCTGAAGGGGTGAACACAAATAGAGACAGTATGTGCATCATCCAGGAGCGTTGCAAGAACACGATTCCCAGCTGAGAGTATCCGAATGTGTCTGTCTCCTGAGCTTGCATGTTGGCATGTAAAAGATAAGTGACAGCGTTAAATATAATGTATTTGGAATATATCAGGGTTATATTCCTTAGCTGCTTTGAGCCAGTTTTCATTATATAGGTCACATCGGCAACTGATATAAATTGGCACAGCTGCATTGAAGGCACTGGAGTTCACCAGTTTTGATCTGCTGAGCCTCTGGCCCCATGTGACTGTTCTCCATGAGATGCTTTCCTTCTCCTTTTGCCCTCTGGGGCATCATCAAAGGCTATTGAGTCTGAAGGGCAACATGTAAGATGAGGCGTTTGGGTTTCTTTATTGTCTTCATAGCTCTGTCACTAACGCTCGGCGCTGGGCAATTTGCCCTCATAGTATTGGTGGGCCTTGCTTCACCTTGTGTGTGCAACAGCACTTTTATTTAATTAGTGTCTGAGTAAAAAGGGCTTTACTCCAGGTTTTCTGGGATGGCAGGCATGATGGAGTGGTTCACATGACTGGGGTGTTGCAATGGATGGATGGATGGATGGATGGATGGATATAGCTCTTAGACAAAGATGTACCTGGGTAACAAGGAGAGGGGAGTGTGTTTGGTGCAGGGGAGTAGCAGTGGGTGTTGGGAGCTTGTGGGTCAGGATCAGGGTGGGGATGCCCAAGAAGAGGGTGTCATGGTGGGCATCTCCTGTGAACCACTTAATTGAGAGGAAGAGCTGAATGGAGCCTTCTTGAACCGATGGGAAAAGTCTTCTGTCCCAGCTGCCACAAGTGGAATTGTGATTGGATCTGAGGGAGGGGAACCAAACTTGGGAGAGTGGTGCCCAGCAAGGCTCTGGGTTCACCCTTCCTGGGGATTTTTGGAGCTCAAGTGGACACCACCAGATTCAGTTAGCTGTGCTTTGAGGAGAAGGATGGCTTAGAGGACTTCCATCAGTCTTTTACAACCTCAGCTGCTTTTCTACAAATCCCTGTGACTCTCCTGAGTTTGTTCTGGATTAGCAGACAGATGAGATGTAGCCTCTCCATCCTTCTCCTCGCTTTCAGTAGCATCTGAAATACCCTCCGTGCCACCTCCTGCCTTCCTTTGGCTGCTTTATGTACTGTCCCTTCTCTCTTTCTGTGCTTTTCTTTGCACGCATTTCCTGTTTGCTTGCTTGTTTATTCCTCAGATGGGATTTTTCTGGCTGTGTTTTCAGGAAAACGTGGTCTGTGGGTATCACATATAAACAATTACATTTGAAAACCCTCAAAGATGCACTAAAAGTGGATACTTGCGTGAAATAACAGGGGACTTTGAATGTACAAGAAGAACTCTAATAGCTGGCTTGAATTCATTTTGGTAATCTGGCCCTTATCCCAGCCTTTTTGAAAGATAATCATCGTTCAAAGAGAGGTTTTCATTCACTGTAGCATACACTTTCTATTTCACCGTGTAACGTAACCTTCTGTACACTCAAGGAAAACAGTTTACAGAGCTAATTGCTGAACTCTGCAGATATAATATTTTAAATGGGTTATGTTAGAAAAGAGTTTATGTTAAAAAAGAAGAAACGTTCTAGAGGAAAATTATTGTTTAGGGAATATTGATTCACGTGAATTAATGTTTTCACTTTAGTTGATAGTTAAAAAGGGATACTTAAGCTAAGCTACATTTTTAGTGTGACATAAAGGCTTCATTAGCTATGAACCTAAGGTGTGAGCTGAAGTCCTTTGTTTGTTTGTTTGTTTAAGTCTTCAAAATTCAGTTGGCATTGGGTCAAACTGTGATTTTTTTAACTGAAGATTTTTTTTTTTAATTGTAAAAAAAACCCCTACATCTACTCAGAGATGGGAGGATGCTTTGGAGTTCTCACTGTTACTTACTTATTCACTTTAGGCAATCCTCTCCACCCTTCTGTCTCAGCCTACTTATCAGTGACATTAGGGGTGGTGTTAATGATCCCTCCTAACACAGTTATTCTAGAAATTAACTGATGAATATTTGTACAATGCAATATTTGTACAAAGGTGGAGTATTACTTGATCTTCGGGAGCTGCCATCTGTCACACACACATGCATCTCTCAGATTTAAAGACTGCAACAAAGATTTTGGGCTTGGGAGGTTTAAGAAACTTTTGCAGAGCTCAGATTTTTTGTGTGTATGTGTTGCTGTTTTTATTACTCTTTTCTTATATTTTTATTCAGAATATAGCCCAAGTCTGTAACTGCTCTCAGTTGTTGTGGCTTTATTGGCCCTGTAGTTTGGGGTTATAGCACAAAGTGTCTATATAAAAGGTTCAGCACTGTTTAGAAGGTGTTAGTAATGAACTAGACATAATGTTTGAGTTTAAATTAAATTTGTTTTCTCCCATGTAGCCGAGTGTTGGTGACAGATTGAGAGAGAAGGAATAAACCACAACACTATGTTTTAAAGCAACCCAGTGGAACAGAGGGTATGTATATTTGTTTTCCGTGGTTCTCTTTAATTATCTTACAATTTCTGCGTCACATCTACTTTGACTGGGTTTAAAGGCAGGTTGCAGATTCATATATATCTAAAAAAGATGAGAATAAGGATGATATTCACCTGAGTCTGGTCTTAGCCAGTGCAAGCAGAAATGTGGATGCGGGGCTGTCCATAGTCAGCGGAGCATCCAGAGGGTACATCAGGGCTCCTGGTGGTCAGCAGAACCTTGAGTTGAGGGCTCACAGCTTCTGCGTTAGGAAGCTCTGCTTCTCTGCAGGTGAGGTACATGCTGAAAGGTCAACAAGTACCTCCAGCTCCCTACCTTCTGCCCATGTAACTCTGCTGATTGCCGTAGACAAACACTGGAGAAGGCAGTGCAGCCCCTCTGGCCTCAGGCGTCGCTTCAGCGAGAGGCTCTGGCTCTTGATTAACTCGTCCTGACAGGCATGGCCACTGCAGTCCATGGTGCACTCACCAATGGACTGAAATACCTGAATTCTCCAGGCCTGAACTCACTCTCTTTTTAGGCACATATCAAACTTCTTCAGCATGTGAACAGAGCTGGGCTCTCCAGCAGTCAATGACTCCGTAAAATGCGGAGATTGCATCTAATTCCACTGTTGAGTGTGAATTTCCTTCTCTTTCAGGACCTACCAACGCTGGTGAAGTCCCCTCTGTGAATGGCACAACAGAAGATGCTGTCCCAGTTCACCGTTGCTCCTTCCCACTGGCAACAGCCTAAGGAGAAGCTGTGTATAGGTGAGATGCTCAGCATCCATCAGCTGAAGTGATTAGCTTTTTGCTCCTTTCTATTAGAAGAGCCTTACCAATTGTGAATTGAACTGATAATTAGGAGCTCAGAAGCTTTATGGCCCATTGCTATATTTATACAAAGGTACTATGCTGTGTTACACAAGTCCATTGCTTCTGCATGGTTATCTTTTTTTCTCTTTCTTTCTCTCATTCTATTCTGTGGATTTTTACTCTTTGAATTACCTCCTGCTACATCTGGTGATTTGGGGCAGCTAAAATTGATCTCACCTGTGAATTGAACACTGTAGCTCTAAAGGTATCGCTGTGTCTCTGAGCGAGTCTCAGGATGGTGGTGGCACTTGTGCAGGTCATTGAAAGAGAATGGAGAACAACGGGGTGAACTCAATGTTGAATAATCATGTAACGTGGAGGTAATTCAAGGAACTAATCAGAGACAGACATAAAAAGAAGTTATCTCCTGGAATGCAGGAAGTCAGGTAGAATGAAAAAGCAAACCTGAAAACAGCGAATCTGTTTTACATCAGTGAAGGCAGAGGATCTTACCAGGGATTAGTTTGGCCATTGTCAGTGCTTGGTGCTGCAGATAACACCAGTTCCATAGCAACGAGTTTTTAACTTGAAATTCCTGGGTGCAAGGGTGCACATAAACTAGAAAATGGACTTGAGTTTTGCTGAGATCATTATAAACGAGCTTTATTTTATTTTCCGCCCACCATCCTGCTCAGCAAATGGACTTATTTCTGAAGTCCTTAATTAAGGATGAAAATTTAGTGTTAGGCAGATGCTGTCATTTTCTTCCTACCCCTCCAGCAAAAACCCACGTGTAATGTGCTGCCTTGGGCTCCGAGGCTGTAGGATGGGTTGTCGGTGATAAGCATCTGCAAAACCTGCAGCACATGCCCAGGGACTTGTAGTCAGATGAGTCATGTGTTGCATGGGCCAAGTTTAATCCCAGAGAGAATGTTACAACACAGGAAGAAACCCCTGAAAATAACAGGAATTGGTACAGTATTTGGGCCGTAAACACAGGTTAGAACAGTCTGGGTATTTGCTTTAATCCTCTCTGATTCTATTTTGAATTGCAATGTTCCTACTCGCTAAACCACTTTCCATTTTCACTCCGTTTTACCGTGACATAAGGAGGAGGGATATTTTGGAAACTGGAAAACTGCCACTTGCACCAGAATGGCATGCCACTAATTTTTTGCAGTTTTTTTGAACTGAGCATTGCCACTCCGAAAGCTCTGTCAGCTTCTTCTTCTTCTAGGATTCCCCACAGAGATCCCCACCCTCCTACAAGGCAGGACGTGCCCCAGGTTACGGGCCGTTTGTTCCTTTCTCTGCAGGCCGTGCTGCCTCAGAATCGGGCACTTTGAAATGATGAACTGAGTCTTTGAGGGGGTGAGAGAGTTTGGATTTATGGGCTCTTCCTCCCTTAGCCTGAACAGAACGGGTTCAGTGCGCCCAAACGTTGCCAAAAACCAGGAGTGGGAGCGTATCCTCAGCGTAGGCAGGATGAAAAATGGCACCACAATGTGTTTTGATGTAGTTTAGCATCATTTCAAGGAAAGGTCAAGCAAAAAGGTCCAACTTGCTGTGTGGCCAGTCTCCATGAAGGGTTTGGCTTTGTGGCAGCGAGGTGGCAAGGACCCATCTGCGTAGCACATGGGCTGGGTTGGAAGAGAGGTGCCTGGCCAGGAAAATGCCTGATGATTTCACTGAATTTCACTGAATTTTTAGAGTTGGAAGGGACCATAGAGATCATCTAGTCCAACTCCCAATGAGTTGGATGGACATTCAGTGGCTGGCCTTGCACAGTAGCTCATGGTGAAGCAACCTGAATGGTGGGTCAGAGCTGGAGATAAGGTTTGATGGGGTTTTTTCCTTTTTCACCCCATTATAATGAAATATTCCAGGGGTCTTGCTTTTACTTATGCTCTGCCATACGTTTGGGTATGGTTTAGCAGGCACGACAGGTAGCCAGGTTGAGGGAGAATCTCAAAATATATATACAGTAACATTGTGAAGCCTTTTTTAAAAGGCGTAAACAAATCTTACTTCTACTTCTTTATTTTTTTTTTCCCTTGAGCAGAAATTTGGGAAAGTCATTTAATGTCACCCAGTGAGTTTTAATGGAGGCTTGGAAGAAGAAATAAAAAACCCCTCCTGTGTCTGCTTGTTTCTTAGGTATGCCACATTACCCACAGCTAGTCTCACCACTCCCAGAGAAAGTTTGTGTAAGTCCTAAAATAATTTCATTCCGCTGGCCCACAAATATTCCCATTTGGTCAGCCTTATATAGAGTAATTACTGTTTAACATGGCACCGCAGCTGGGTCAGGGCTTATTTTGGGTTATGAGTTATAAAAAGCTGTTTGTTAAAAAAAAAAAAAAAAATTAAAAAAAAAATGACTGTGTTTGTCGATCTGTCATTCTAAACAAATGAGTCTAGAAACTTGTTAGTTTACTTATTCTTTTTTTTTTTACTTGTTTTGCTTTAAGAGGCAACGTTCATGAGGGCATCAGCATTAGTACCAAAGGCGTCCACCCATCTCCTCCTGGCTCCTTTAGATATGTCTGCACTTCAATTACCAAAAACATAATTGTTAGGTAGCCAGGTGTTGTGGTGATATTGAGTGAGTCTTGTGGGGTGGCACTTGCTCAGCAAAAAGGGGTCAAGGTTTGACCAGTGGAGAAACGGGAAGTTCATTTTCCTGGGCAGGTGAGAGGTGTGAGGGGTGGGAAGAAGCATCTTGAGGGAAACGTCTTGGCCCTGTGCTCTCATCCAAATAGGCCTTTGCATTTTATGTGCCTAAAGTGCTGTGCTCAGAGCAGGCAGTTCATTCCCACAGCTGTGCTGGGGTGTAATTAGCATTTTTTCAAGCCATGCTGAGTCCAACATCAAAGTTCCTTCTAATTTTAATAACTTTGATATAAATATATGTGCACGTATTTTATGTTTGTGCATATATGGGTATGTGTGTGTGTGTAGCTAGAAAAAAAGGAAATATGGCTATGTATATACATGTGTCACTTCTTATCTGCTACTAAAATACAGGTGTCTCTGTGGGAAACAAGTTGTTAAGCTGTTTATTGTACAAGAGTTCAGGAAGTTGAGAGTATTAGATTCACTTATACAATTTCCCATGCTGGGTTGGTCATTTCACCTCAAAAATTAGCATCCCAGCCTGTTTCACAGAAGACCCCAATATTTTTAGTAGTCATAGGAAAGAATGTTGTCCACTGGGACAGAGCAGGAGGCTGTGCATCAGGACTCAGGGTTTGGTTGTCTTTTTCTACTTATTTTATGGCCTGGGACAATTCTTAGCACTCTTTTGTGCCTCTGTTTAATAGCAAAATGGGACTAATAAGATTGAGTTACCTTGCATAGAACTATTTAAAGACAAAATTAAAGTTTGGAGACCTTTTACTAGCTTTTGGCATGAGAGAAATAGAGCAGTTATGAGAAGTATTCCTGTGGTTTGGCTTTATTAATGATACTGAACTTCTGGAGAAATTGTATTAATGAAACGGAGCCGGGAAACTAACCAGAAGCAGATAGACAGAAATCAAATCCCTTCATGGACAGTTATACAACGTGCTAAGTGAGGATGGCTGTATCCTTGGATTTTTTTTCTCGTGAAAAATGCTGCAATGCATATGGAAAATAGTTTCCTCTATAACAGAAATGAGAAGACGACCGACATTTCAGTAATTTTTAAGGCAAGACAAAGCTAAAAAGAAATACACTGGGAGCTATGAAAACCTTTCAAACTGGGGATCTGAAAACAAAATTGATTCTGGGAACGCAGGCTGTTGGCTCAGAAATGGCTCTCAGGTTTCTTGGCTCCTTGTTCTCCCATCAGCCATCCCAGACAGGTGGCCAATGGCAACCTGGAGGCCCTCGGGTCCAATCCTTGGACCAGAAGCAGATGCATCATGATAAGCAGAACCGGGGTAGGGAAATAGCACTATGGACATAATTTTTCCTCAGCTTGACCCTGTTGGATCATCCATTATATTTTTCCTTATATTAATGTATATTTTCTTCCTTTTACTCCAGGTTGTGCCCGCTCGGTGTTGGGAGTGAAGAAGCTCACACCCATCCTCTCTGCCTTTCTCACTGAGGACAGGTACAACGTGGTCACTCAGCACTGAACTTATTGCCAGGTAAGAGACCAAACCTTCCTCCCAGGGTGCAGCGAGCGCTCAAAAGTGAACTCACCCCCCTGATAGTCATAGCAGCATAGGTTATAACATACCCCATAGGTTATATCATACCAGATCTGCCTTTGTGGTGGAGATTTCCCACATGTTCATGGTAAGGATCTAATTATTTGTCCATCTACAGCAAATCTAATAGGTCCAGATAAACATTGTTGTGTAGGTGCTAACAGTAAGGAGAAATCAAGTTTGATGCCAGGCCGTCAGGGACCAAATCTTTTCCGTTGTAGGTTGCTTCTTGAATCAGTCTGAAAGAAATTCCATTTTATTTAAAAAGCTTTTATTGATTAAAAAGGCTTCGTTCATAAGCTCTGTCTTCTTGAGTGGTTGGAGCAGGCTTAACTCCTGATAGGAATTCTTATTTGAGTTCATTTTTATCATCTCGGTTGGTGCTAAATTTCATGCTTTTCTTCTCTGTAAAGGTATCTGGAAAAGAGACACATGGTTTAGAGATATAAAAAAAAAAAAAAGAAGTGCAGGTTTCCTTCCAGTCCATTAATTTTCTTTCATGGAGCTCTGTACCAGTTTGAGTGCACAATTGGGAGGAATCAAAACACAGACATCTAGACTATTACATAAGATCAAAAAGAGAGCAGATTTGTTTTGAAGCTGAGTATAATGTATTTGTCCGAAGTCGTGAACATTTTTGAGAGCTCAGAACACTCTTCCTGTTCTGCCTCAGGATGAAACTTAGATCATTCAAACTGGAGAGAGATCCCAAAATACTTGAAGCCATTTAAGTAACTGTAGACCTAATTCAAAGTCCTTACTGAGTGAGGCCAAGCAGGGATTTGAACCTGATTTTTATGCGCGTTCTTTACTTCTCTTTCTTCCTTTTAACTCGAAGCTCCATCTTATACTGAAGAAACCATCCCTGTGGGTTTCGTAAAAAGGGATTTATTCAGGTCAGACACTTAGGATTTTTTTTTTAACTGACCCAGTGTTTTGTGTCCAACCGCCCTCACCCCTGAAATAAACAGATTAGCTGTGGAAATTTCCAAAGAAAACAGTTTTAAGTTATAACTCTTCCCAGCCGAACCTGTGTACAACGTAAAGGACAGAGAGCAAGTGGCCTGTGCAGGCTGGGAAGATCTAGTGTTTAGGGGACAACATATATCCAATGTATGTGCATCCAACAGCAGCTGGGTTCATTGACCTCTTGCAGTCTGTATACACGTCTCTTAGGAGCAGGCTAGAAACTGGACTCACGGTCCTGAACAGAAAAGGAAACACCAGTTTTTCTTCCGTAGTCCGGATGCTGACTCACCTGTGTGGTGAAAGAAAATAGCCAAAGGGTTGCTATTTCACCAGTGTCCCAACGTGCCTGGGGATGTTTCATCAGCTCCCTTACTTGGGCAAGCTAAACTGCAAAGCGGTCTGAGGCCAGGTCAGTAGTTCCTCATGCTCAACTTGGTCATGCTCTTGGTGCCCTGGTGGCTGAGATCAGTAAGTTTTCTTTATTTAAAGCCACTGGCAATATCTAGTTGGTTTGCATTGGTCTTTCATTGATGCATGGTGTCAACTCAAGCCCATTTGGCTTGTAGTTGGAAACTTGTTCCAACTCACCTGCCTCTTCTCTGCGTCTGGGTCCAGACCTTGACCCCCTCTGTGGTAGGACCAGAAGAGCTGTCCCGCTGCTGCTGTGTTTCACTGCCCAGTAACGGGGTTTTGGTGGGGTGGGGAGAGCTGAGCTGACAGGGATGCTGCAAGAGGAAGGAATTTCTGAGGGCTGGCAGTGAGCGAGCAGCACTGTGGTGGTAGCTGACTCTCACCACCCATCCTGGTTCGAGCCAGGGAAACTTCCTCTGGCCTTGTGGAGCATTTCCGTGCTCTCCAGGCCTCCAGATACCTCAAGATCAAGCAGCTTTCTAATTTTCACTGAATTTCACTGAATTTTTAGAGTTGGAAGGGACCATAGAGATCATCTAGTCCAACTCCCCTGATGAAGCAGGATTGCCTAGAGCTTGTCAGAGCATGTTACTCAGGAGCATCCCGGTGGCTTTTGAAAATCTCCAAAGAAGGGGACTCCACACCCTCCCTGGGCAGCCTGTTCCAGGGCTCTGGCACCCTCACTGTGAAGAATTTTTTTCTCATATTTGAGTGGAACTTCTTAATGTTCCAACTTGTGCCTGTTGCCCCTCATCCTCTCACTGGGAACCACTGAAAAGAGTCTGGCTCCCTCCTCCTTCAACCCACCCTTGAGATGCTTGTCAGCATTGATAAGGTCTCCCCTCAGCCTTCTCTTCTCCAGACTAAAGAGTCCCAGCTCTCTCAGTCTTTCTTCATAAGGGAGATGCTCCAATCCTTGAATCATCTTTGTTGCCCTTCGCTGGGCAACAGCTGGGTAATAGTTCATCACTCATGGTAGTGCAGGCAAGATTTCTCCCCTGTTGTACACCTTTTCCTTGTTTTCAGAGCCTCATGAGTACCGAGGTGGGGACATTAGCTTGTGCCTCTGGGTGAGTGCTGGGGCGGGATGCTGATGCTCCTTGAATCGTGCGGCCTTGCCTGCAAGGTGGGGACCTGAGCTTCTCCTCAGGTAGAGCCTGGCCTGAAGCTGGGGATCGGGGCGTGCAGAGGCTGCCTTTGGCTGGCAGCTCCCCTCAGCTCTGCTTTGCCATCAGTCTGCCATCTCCACTCACCTCTGCCGGCGTGGCCAGCGTGGCTAATCCGCCCTTATCTGAATGCAGAGACATCGGCGGCAGGAGATGGAATGCAAATGTAGCATCGCGCAGCCCCGTTCCTTCTTGCAAACTATTGATTACGTGTCCGATTTGCTCTCCCCTGATAATAGCCCATAGGCAGAAGCCAATAGGGCGAGGAGGAGGAGAAGCTGTCACGGTCGTTCGATGGAGCTGGGGAGCCAATGAGAGGAGAAAGCCCGTGGATTGGGCTGGGGGAGAGCAAGGCTGGGGGAACTGTCTTAGCAACAGCAGAAAGCCACTCTTTCTCCCTCCCACCCTGCAACCATGCTGGAAAGTTCCTGATGATGTTCCTTAATGTATTTGTCTCGCTCACGCCAAGTTTGGACGTGATTTGTGTGACTTTGCCGCAGGTGCCGGTTTGCCCCTTTTCTTCGTGATCCTTTGGAAAGAGTAGAAGGGAATCTTTTCTTTGTCTGTCCTACTAAAACAAACCAGTGAGCTCAAGGTAAAGGCGTCTGCTGCCGGATTCATTTCTGTGCAAGCCCTGAGAACACAAATGAGTTTTGTATTGTCTTTTTGTGCTTGGTATTTTCCTCTTGACATCTTTCCAAGACAGTCTGTTGCTGAAACAGTCAGTTTCTTGCCAGTCTGTTGTGACGGCGGGAGCTGGACACCTTGACTGTAGTCTCATCTCTGCGAAGGAGTCCTTAGATGAAGCCAGGTGAATCCCTATCCTTGAAAATCCAGATCACTTCCTCAGGTTGCTGGGCTCCCTGGTCTGGGAATGAGAAGAAAATTTTTCTCAGTTGAGCCCTCCCTGTGATCTGTGGGCTGAGAAAAGCCAGTCCAAGGCACCATACTGCTTTGCCTCTTATCTTTTATCTGCCTTACAGCAGGAAATGTTCTTTCTGTCTCTCTGCCTCTCTCATGGTCAATCTATCATTGGTTTAACCAAGCGAAAATGAAAATGGCAGTTAAATTTGTCCGAACCTTTTGAACATTTATTGGAACCAAACATTGGCACTTTCAGCACTCCCTTGAAAATGACCTTCGTTGTCCTCCCCTCACCTGCTGCCTCCTCCTGCTCATAAGCATTCACACGTTTATCTCACTATTTGCATGCTGATAATAGACATAGATTTTGTTAGTCCTGCATCTGTCGAGACGGCGGGGACAATAATAGAAGCACCGTCGGGACCAATATATATTGGTCTTAGGAGTGTGTCCAATAATGTCTGGGTCAGGGAGCCTTTAACTGCAGTGTCAGGGAATTTAGTCAGCTGTCATCGCTTCTTAATTAAAAATAGCTGAGACTCACTTACATTCCATTGCTGTGCGTTAGCTCATTTGTCATCTTGTCCTCTGCTCCCCAGCAAACCCCCCTAAACACCTTCAGACCCAGACAATGGATAGAAACGCTTGCAGCAGGTAAGAAGACAAGGGAGCAGATAACCCATGGTGTAAGATGCTCTTTAGGTCAAGAGTTTGCAGGAGTTTAGTGGGATTCAAAGGGGATGGGGATACGTAACAGCTCAGTATGAAAAGTACTCTGTGTATGTATTTTATTTATATAAAACTTGCCTCTGCACAGGCATGTGTTGGGAATAAATCAAGCAGGAACTGTCCTGGGGTTACCAGAAACTTTCCGTGGGGTCAAACCAACTTATGTTTTTCCATCTTGAGTTTCCAGCATCTTCCTCTGGTCCAGTGTTCTCAAAGACTGAATGTTTTTTCAGTATGATCCAGTCAGACCTTTCTTATGTACATAAGCGATTGGATTCCTAATTCCTCGCTAAATGGAATTTAGTGGTATCTGTGATTGCTATCACCTTCCAGTAGGTTTCACTAATTTATTTGTGATATTCCTAAGGGGGACAGGGAGATGGGAGGTTACACAGAGGTTCAGGAGCTGCAGAGGGAAATAAATAGCATGCTGTAATATCATTACTGAAAGAAAATGTATCCCCCTCCCCCTGCCAAAAAAAGAATTTATTGTGATTCTAACTAATGCTTGGAGCCAAGGGACAGTTTTGGCATAGGGAGAATTTTTCTGGCTTCCTTTTTACAAGTAAATCAGAGGTGGAAGGGCATTAAACCGACTAACTTCCTGAACTGGAAGTTGCATCCGGATTACCATATTTAATTGTCTGTGATTGACCTATCTTCCATGCGTTTTGCTAATCCATTTTTGAAGCTGTTTATATGTTTGGCCTCCACTGCGTTGGGTGGTGATGAATCCCACCATTAAATCACATATTGTTTGAAAAAGTTCATCCAGGATGTCCTGTACAATGCTATCAATCTGTCCAGTGAGTCAATGGACGGCTGTTGCCAGGGCTTTGGATTCCCTCAGCCCCAAATAGGTGCTAATTCCCCTTGGGACCACATCCAGCCTTTCCACCGGAGAAGGGAAGCAGCACCAGACCTCCTGTGCTTCACCACCCAACGTGGGCTGCAGGGGACTAGTTTTAGCTCCCACACGGGGCAGCTTCCACAGTCCCACCACTAAATGGTGATTTTTCTGGTGATTTCCCTCAGGACTGTGTTCCCAATGACTTGGTTGAAGAAGATCCAGTGTTGCTCGTTGATGGCACATGCATCTTGTGGGATATGCCCGGATTAATTTAAGATGTTCTCTTCAATCTGGTTAGTTTTTTCTGAGTCCAGTTGAAGAAAGCCATAGAACAGTTGATAGGAATAAAGAGGGAAGCCCCACCGCTTTGACTCGGTATTTTGGGGGGATTTTGGGTTACTCCGAGGTGTGCTGGCACAGGAAATCGGAAGCAACAGGTAACAGCTCAGCTGAACCCCAAAGCCTCAAGCTAAGGACAGACTTTCATGTTAGTGGAGACATTTTCAGACTGCAGATTTTTTTTTTTTTTTAAACTAATTAAGCTCTGATGACTTCAGCTGTATTTTCAGCCTCTGATTAAGGCCATGATACTAATTAAACTCTTGAATTATTAAAAATGCAAATAGTCAGACCTGTGTGCAACAGCAGACTTGTGTTGCCGTGCTCCAGGACGGCAGTGGGAATATTTGGCAGAGTCCCTCGTGGTGACAAGTTTTTCTTTTCTTTTTTTTTTTTTAAATATGAAATGGCTGCACTCGATGCAGAACAAAAACTGTCAGCTGCTGGGGTAAATGTCTCAACTGCCTTGCAGCTAGACAAGTAAGTTTGATTAAAACTCAGCAAAGTTTTGGAAGGAACTCTGGGTCTCTTGACATCCCAACAGTGGCCTTTTCACTCAATAGGCTGTTGGGATTGAAATACCATCTAGTCCTTAGAGAGCGAGTCTGCTTTCAGTAGCAAAGCTGTTGGAGCTGCATTTAAGCAGAGTTCAAGAGCATGATAAATTATTTAGGTCTCTAGCTGTCCTCCCGGATCCTCTCTCTGGCATCCCCTACGATGAAACACACACCTTCAGTGGGCTGTATATACCAGGAGGTCTGATTGTGGCCTTTCCTTCAGTCCAGGTGTCTTTTGGTTGTGGCTCTGCTAAACAGTAGGGATCTGAAGGACATCTTGATCTCTTTACTGTCGACATCCTAGCAGGCACCAAGCACCTCTTCTGAGTAATAACCGTCCTTGTGTACAAATACATCTTTTGAAGTAGGATTTTGTAATCATAAGTAGGTCTCGTCTCCAGATGGATAGTCCTGCAGAAGTGCAACGAGCTGGTCTGTGAGGTAAGATGGAGCTCTGGAGGCTGGGAGTTGGGCGAGCAAGTGTTGCCTGTCACTGCTCACCAGTGTCGATGTCTAACCTGGATTTCTGTGTTTATTATAAAAGGTTCTGCTCAGCTCCAGAGCTGAGAGCTCCAGTGATACCTTGAGTACCACTTCTGCCTCACTGCCTATACCCTGGTCAGTCTTTTGGATGTGCAGCCCTTCTCCTGGCTGGGGCAGTGGCCCGTGGGACTCGGAAGCATCTATCCCATCCTGGAGCCCTTTTGCCTTGTCGTTACGGAGGCTCTGCTGGATCTGGCAGCTTTTGCAGGCAGTACCAGCTGGGATGTTAGAGGGATATGCCAGTAGGCAGTCTAGTTATAACCTGCCCAGAGGGAAGTTTCTTCCTAGTGCCTATTTAATTCATAATAAAGACATAAATTAAAAAAAAAAGGTGCACAAGACACTATTCAAATGCAGCAAGTGCACGTCGCGTTGAATAAACTGGAACCCTGGCTGGTGCGAAGTGACAGCAATTTATTGGAGTTACTTATCAGATAAAACCATGACCCAGTGTCTGCAGTGAGTCCAGCCAATGGCAGGTGTGATGGTAAAGCTATGGCATTTTTTGCTTCCCCTCTCAACTGTCCTTTCAGCGTGTTAAAACAAAGAAATAAGTGGTCATTACTTTACCTATGACAACTGATTTTTTTCATCCTTCTGCTATAATGGGCTGCAGGTGTTTCACAGCCAGCCCAAGCTAATAAGGACAGACATTCTGGCTGCACGCCAAAATTATAAAACTGTCCAGGGAGAGAAGAGAAGAAAAGAAAAGACAAGGGGCGGGGGTGGGGTGGGGGGGGGGGGGG